AGTACCTTTTATCCGTTCGACCATCAATGTTCTCATTTTGCAAAATCTCATTTCAATGAATCATACTTTACTTAAAAATTTAGTGAATCAGTGAACCGAATGGAAAAAAATATAAAAATTCATTGAATATCAGCCCATAAACCAGTGCTACACTGATTGCCTTTGCCTTTGTACATTCATGGCCAAAGTACTGTATTTGCAATTAAATCTTTAGTGCACTGAAAAATATCACATCCACCAGAGCAGGCCAGGGAGATTTATGTGTTCAAGAATTGTCAAGTCTTATTTTCAGTTAATCTAACAATTTATGCAATATGTAACTAACTTCTGTATGTCTCACTGTAAAAATAACTTAAACAATTTGTTTCAATGCATTTGCAATGCTCCTCCCTGCTTCCACCTAAAGTCACACTGTAGCACTAATCAAAACTGTGGGTGCAATTTACCTTTCGAGCAAGCTTAAAGAACTACTAAATCAGTGTTAAAATAAGCTTTCGCTGATTAGGTTACCACATTATTCAATTGCTTCTTCCAGTAACTCAAAACTTCAATTATTCAACATGTTCGGGAATTGTAATTTATAACTTTATAATAACATCTATATTGAAGGTTTTAAAAATAGTCTGACATCATTTTCTCTGAAATATTATCAACCCAGTCTTGGGATCTTGCCCAGAATTTTGTTTCCTTGAAATGTTAAAAGCAAGACTTTGCAATTTGTCAAGTAAACGCTAAATTATACACAGGTACGCTATATATATATTATATATAGGTGGTGCTCAATGTGTGATAATGAATTGCAAAGCAGTTCTCTTGTGGTGCTGGTTACAATCCATGGAGCTGTGGTATTTATGAATGTCAATTAAACTGCTTGATTGAATAACTTGCCTTAAGCTCTCATTTGAATTCTTCATATTATACAATCTAGATAGCTAACTTTCAAATAACAGCGTAATTTTTTATTACAAACTATGTAGCTCAATGGAGAAAGCATGTCATAAATTAATGTATAAAAAAAACATGATGTTCAATCTGAAAATATACAGCGACATGTAGAGTCTGTTTGCCTGAAAATGTATAGAAATCTCAGCGAGCACCCTATTATAGTCAAATTGTTTCCTTATTAAATAAGCATTGCAATTTCCATTCCAATTGAGCACATTGTTTTTTCATCTCAATTTGCCATTTTGTAGGCTATAGGGTAATTCAAAATCTGTGTAACTGGGGAAAAAAGACTGTAATCTTAATGGAGCCAGACTGTAATCTTTTCTTATTGCCCTTATTGCCGCATGTCACGTGTAATGCTGTGTGCTCTTATTGAATGCCTCCTTTCCATTCTCTTCCCTTCTTATCAAGAGACAGCAGACTAACAATTATTGGCTAATAAATTCCGTAGGATGGTTTCGATCTTGTTAAATTTTCTCCTCTCCTCGGCAGAAGCTAACTCAGTCAGTTTCAGAGCAGGATGTTGCCTAGTGGCAGGAAGAATCTATCCCACGGTACCTCTGACTTTTCCCCCTCTTTCACCATCTTTAAAACCTGGCTCAAGACTTATCGCTTTGACCGAATCCTTCCCCTCCCTACCCTCTCCAGATTCCATGCCCAGCTCAGGTTCCTAGCATGTGATGTGCTTTGAGACATCCTTCCAACATGAAAGGCACGGTATAAATTCAAAATGTATTATATTCTCCAGTTGAACCCACTTTAATTAAGCTTAAAAGAACTAAACTGAAATTCTTACTACACACACCCACACGCATATTTTCCTTTTCGTAGAGTAGTACACATATTGAATATCATCTGCATAGTGTTGTGAAATTAAACTCAACATCAATGGGTCCAGAAGTGTTTAAAGTAGTAACATTTACAAGCCAGCAGTACCTGCTGTGTATTTCAATTTTAAATGCAGCTTTTATGATTGAATTTCTTCCTGCTCTCTCTCCATTAAAACCTGAGGAAAATTTGCTTCAGACCTGTTGAAACAATTATAACACATTGTGGAACACTGAAATATTAATGATGTGTGCCCAGTCTTGTATTACCATTGAACGCAGGTAGGGGCCTAAAGCAATAATCTGTATGGCTCCTTCACGAAAACAGTAGCACCGGGGAAGAGGTGAAATAAATACATATTAAAATACTGTAAACCCCCTCATATGCAAATACCTGGCATCTGAAAAGAAAAAAAAACACACACACATCCAAATTTGCATTGAAACAGACAGGGCGATTTAACCTCATTTCAATCTGCATGAACAGTACATAGCATCCTGGTTACGATGAAAAAAAGTAAAATGATTAGTAGGAGTTTGCTAGTGCTAGATCATTTCTGACACGATTTTCTTTTTCGTTTGCTTTGTTCAGTTCAAATATAACATGGTCTACAGGTCCCTTTTAATACATTTTTTTAAAAAAAAACAGGTTTTGAATGCACTAATGTTTCAAATGGAAAACAGTTGTCTGTGATAGTTCCCTCGATAGCTCTGTCAGTCAAACTGATATCTTAGTGTGAAACTGAAGATGCCAGGCTCGATCCCCAGTCAGTGGAAACGTAGCTGATCTCACAGGGCGGGGTGGGGTGGGGGGGGAACTGCGATTAGCTTCTAAAACCTTGGCTCGTGAAGCCAAGTTGTGATTATTTTTCAGTGATTCTGACCCCACTCTTGCTGAATTGTGAACATGATGGTAGGTTTGGGCTCAGCTATGATATGCCCCCTCCTCCCCCCCCATAGAATAATTGTCTGCCACCAATTAAAACAAGACTAACAGAAGAAAATACTCTGATGAAAGGTGAATGACCAGAAACGTTAACTCATTTTATACTCTCCATTGATGCTGCCTGACCTGCTGTGTGTTCCCAATGACTTATTTTTTTATATATAGTAAATACTCTCCTATGGCACTGTAGTCCAGTATCAGTCAACACCTTTAAGAGTAAGGTGGAGGAGATATTTATTTTTATATTTATATCTTAGTCCGTATGAGTACTGATTCCAATAAATATTCCATATACAGGTAGGATGCATGGAACTCTGTGGGTTTGGATGTTTTGAAGGATGGTGATGACTTTCTGCCCGACTGACCAAAAATAAACAAGGGACCGAGTCTAATTTAGGTGTTTTTCTCTCTATATTCCCTCTGAACTTTATCCCATTTTAGTTTATGTTGGCATTTCAGGTTTGTCCCGGAATTGGGAAACACAGAACATGTGTACACGTATATGGCAGCACCCGTGCTCACGAGCTAAAGGTTGTCCATTACCATTTGCAACAGACAAGAGGGGCGACAACTCCGCCACCTAAATGTAATTCATGAGCACAGCAAATCACTTCATGCTCTGCAAAACAATCCCGCTGTCTCCATCATGTGGTCAAAGATGGTAAAAACACCTCACCCGCACCAGCAACAAATGGTAACACAAGTATTTACTAAAAGTTTTGTAGGAATTGATTTTGCTATTCATGGCCTTTTCGAAAAGGGAAGGGAGTTTCTCTGCTGGTATCCTGGCCAAAGTACTTCCAAATAAAATTGGTCACTCACTCCGTGGCTGTCTGTGGGGACACTGCTGTGCTGCCGGGTTTCACCCATATAGTCAATTCACTTTACAATGTATTCTGTGAAGTGCTTTGAGACACCTCAAAGACGTGATAAGGCGCTATATCAAATGCAAGTATTATTATTACTGTGTGCTCTAACTGTCTGCCACATTTGCCCACAAAATATAATCAATCCACTTTACAGTACGTCTCTTGTGAAGCACTTTGAGACATCTCAGTGACATAAGGCACAATACCAAATGCAAGTATTATTATTAATTCTATCAACTGTCTCAAGTCTCCCTGGAAACCGGTCTATTATAATTTTTTTGGAAAAAGCAAGATTTTGGCAATTATTTCAAATAAGATTTCTTAATAAGTCTTGAGATGGAGCAAATGGATTTGTGAACACTTCACAAAGGACCCAAGAGAACTCTGCTCTAAAAGTAGATTGCTTTGGGGGCCGAGTTCCGCAAATCTGTGTGATGTGCTCGATTTGCACCACCTGCATTTATACTGTGGTGGCGCATATTTCTACTTCTAGGTACGCACAAAACCATGAGGATAAACTTTAAAATTCAATTGCCAATAGAATCATTAAAAAATATTCACTCCTATCACAGCGGTATCAAAAAATAAACTCAAGTGTCGGACACCAACAATTAACTTTTTCTGGGTCCACTCAATACACCTCCATTCTGGATACAATATGAAATTTGATTAAAAAGTGATTTGATGCAACTGACCCAATATTCTGCTGCGTATCTCACTTCTTCACAGCTTCAAATATTACACGTATCCTAGAATGCGCCCTTCATATTGTCTTGCCACAACCTCCACTTCCCTATCAATCATATAATTGATAGCAGAGATTTAACAACTTGCACGTATATAGCACCCTTCATGGAGGGTAGTAGCTCAAAGTGTTTAACAGCTCGACACGAGCTGAGGAGAGGGGAGGTGACCGTAGACGCGGTCAAAGATGAAGGTCTTCAAAAAGGATCGATTCCCTATGAGCTAGATTGGCAGTCAAAAGTCAGCTCTCATATTTATGTGTGGAGAATAAAATAATCTTAGCATTTGGTACAATTTACACTTATACAGCACTTTTCACATTGGGAGGCTGTCCCAAAGCACTCGACAATTGCAAGATTGACATTAAAATATTGCAGATAAATTTGAAATCTGGCACGAGAGAGTTCAGAAATATGTCCACATCTGGATGAAGTTCAAGTCTGTATTGAATACAACAGTGGCCTTATCATTGCATTTTATAATTCAAAACGTGGAGTACATTTTTAGGCTTCTGCACAAAATCAGCCTTAAGTTAATTTGTTGTAAAGTGATTGCAGCATTCTGGAAATGAGCAAAAATACATTTATTTGACTTTTACTGTACTGTATTTATGTATATGATTTTTGGAATTGGAGATGGGACAAAAAGAAAAAACAAATTCACACAATATATATTTTCAATTTTATTCACATTTCACAACATTCACAAAATATGCGTAAAGTAGTAACTGCTATATAGTCAAAGAAATGAAAATTAGTCCGTTGGTTTATTAGTGCACCAATGCAAGCTGCCAAATTAGTAATAAATTCTTCCACTAGGTCACATCGTTGTAATGGGTTCCAATATTTTAAAGCTAAAATATGCATAATACAAATAACTGCTTCGCAGATTAAAAAAAAATTGCAGCTGAGGAACCTGGGAGCCTGTTTTTGCACGCTGAAATCTTATGGGCAACTCAAAATGGTAAGCCCTCATAGCTGGAGGTATCTCATTACGTAATGTAAAATGTTATAGGTCTAAGCAAGTGATACAGCAAGACAAAACCATTTTGGTCCTTCAGTCTTTTTCTATCCCTATATCAAGTATATATTATATAAAAAGCTACAAACACATATAGACCACTCTCACAATTCAACACTTGACATATTAAATCAGATAAAATTAATGTTTTTTTCTTGGATCTGGTGCAAATTGTGGACATAAGCTTCACCTTCACGAAACTCCAAAGAGCAATTTGTAGGGAGGTTGCAACTGAGGCAGGAAAGCAAATGTTAATATTTTAGAATATTTAAGGTTAGCAGTTGCACCAATAGCAAAGCTGCAAAATAATGGATTGAATTTTCCCCACTTCGTGTTTATTAATAACAGGGAAAATTCCATTCACTGTTTGGACGTTTCCAAAGGTTTTACAATGTTGAAACAATTGGTGAAATACACTATGAGTTTAATAGATTTTGGTCTTGCTCTCGATTATTAAAGGTGTTTGCATGCTTAAAGGTGTAAGCTTTCTACTTGTGTAAGCTCTCGAGTGTAAGGTCTCTCCTTGTGTAAGGTGTAAGCTCTCTACTTGTAAACATATGAACAAATACTGAAACAGGACATGGTGCTTTATAGAAAAAAACAAAACTCTTTAATTGAAGTCCAAATTCTTGTAATAATGAAAGTCTTAAAAAAGGTCCTTGCTATAGAAATTTATTTTTGCTCTTGCGTACTGTGGTGAAATGAGTGGAACTGAATAAAATTGGAGCATTTTATCTTGGTTGTATTCAATATCTATATTCAGATTATTTATAGGCTCTGTAGTCTGGCAATGAAGTTTTTCTGTGCAAATCCTGACGTTTTAAAATAGCTATGTGAAATTCCATTTATTACTCAATAACAGAACAGGTCTTAATCAATATCAGGAACATAAAACCAGTACAATCTCCACTAAAGAAACATCATCCAAATAGAACTCAAGTATAACTGCTCTCAATTCACAAAATGTTTGAGTATTAAATACGTGTTAAGAATTTTTCTGCAAAAGTCATACTGAAATATTCAATATTGCACTGTGAAAATTCTTTACAGCGAAAATATGCCTCATATGCATTGATACTTAAAAATTATTTGACCGCTCTACAAACATTCAGAAATCTATCACATCAATCGTGTTGAGATAATTAGGAAAAACAAATTTTCCAAAGATTGTAAAAGATTTAACTACAAATTTTAGTAAAAGAAAGAAAAAAATAGGACATGGATATGGCCTTCAATGAGCTGTTTGATGCAATTAATTCCTTTCATGTAATTTAAAGCCATTTCCGACAATGGCTTGAGCTAAAAAAGTTGCAAAAATTAGCTCTTAACTCGGTAATTGGGACAGTCTTGGACAAGGAAATACAATTCTTTCAAGCTTCCTTTGTTCATGTCAAGCTTGTTTTCATCCAAGTTGTAATACTTTCCCATTCAGTTGGAGCAGCATAATGTTGCATTCAACTTCACTGGTACTGTGTAATCAATGATCTGTGATTAGGTGACTTCTATACATTGGGTTGCATTTTGCTATATCTGGAATATAACTTACAACCACTGTCTAGATCTTAATGTGGTAGCCAGGCTCATCACAGGCAAGAAATACCCAATCAGGCCAAAAACATAATCAATCATGAGTTTTCAGCCATAGCGACTAAGCTATCCTACCATTGTCAAAATTTCATAATTACGCTCAATGTGATAACATTTGGTCTAAAATACCAAATGGTCTGAATAGTTTCAGCAGCGGTTTGCCAACAAGGGCACTTTTCAAATTGATTGCACAAACACATCTTTTCAGAGTACACGTCTCAGCAATTATAATTAGTTGCCTTGTCTTTGAATTGCCTCGTCTTTGAATGACTGGTTCTTGAGGTCCAATAGTAAACCGAATTTTACACACAAGTTCATCAAAAAGTATGATTAACTACGTAAAAAAGATGAAGGGAAACAAAAGATCAATTCTATTCATCATTAAAAAGTTTGGATATACTACCTCCACCAAAAGACTTTTGATTGTGAAAAACGTTTTAAAATAGTTGTCATAACCTCCATTAAGATCCGGTTTCAAGTCATTGTAGCATCAAAAAAGCATTTTGTTTTCTAACCACATAAGCAGTGATCATATTCGAATTACAATTTGATGAATAAACTGTATAAATACCCTTAAACAATGGAAACGTTCATCTTGTAAACATTTACGTGAGATTACCTGACACAAGAAGCTTTATGAGATTGAAGCGTATTAATAAACAGACATCATTTTAATATTTTACCTAAAACAAGTCTTCTTGTGGATATTATTTAAGAAAGTCACCTGTCAAGGTCCTCATAAAAGTAGCTCAATAATTTGCATTGTTCCTCCAATTTAGATAACCAAGTTAAATAAAATGCAAACCACACAGTACATGGATTTCAATATTCAGATACTTCAAAGTAATCTATAATTCCCCACTTTGCCGACAAAGGCACTTTTCAAATCAAGTGATGTTTATTCTCGCTGATAAGTTTCTTAACATTGGGCATTTTCTCTTGGTAATTTAGTGGGCATATTCACCCAGCTGTGAGGTATTGAGCCAAACAATGGTGTGGGGTCCTACACCTAGCCCATGTGCTGAGCTACACAGGAGACGAAGATCAGAAACCGGTCAAAGCTTCTTGAGATGTGCAGCATTGGGTACCAAATGAGGAAAAGGCAGAACTCCTCACATGCAAATAAGTTGAATTGGACACTAACACTCACTCTCCAAGATCAAGCATGATGAAAGGGCACTTGGGCAAGGTCCCGGAGAAACTCTGCACAGAACAAGTCATTGCCTTCAGAAATTTTGCTTCAGATGTTTTAAATCGGTTTTCCAAACATTGGATAAATTAGCTGAAATGTGATGTGCCCAAACAAAAATCTTTATGCATCTATCGTTCATCCTCCAGTTTGTTGCCCATCCTCACTATCCACTTTGCATCCAGAGCAAATCCATTACACCTTTATGCTTTGAATAGATAACATTTCAATGGAACCAAATCCTGAACTGGATTGAGCTCTGAATGGACCAGTGACTTCTCAAGAATATCCTTTTCTCCTCCACCTCCTCCTCCCCCACAAAAACCAAGTTACATTTCTCTGCAAAAATACATTGCTTTTCATTGCAAAAATAATGACCATTTTTTGGGAACATGAGAGAATTCCTAATTGTTTAACAGTTTAACTTGGTCTTAAATTATTTTCACAATTATTCTGAATGAAACAAATAAACTGATAAAAACAAATCCATATTAACATTCATCTACTTGAGTTCACCTGGATCAAGATGTAAGAGACATTACTTAGTAATAAACTTAGACATCACTTCAATGCTCTCAGACCAAATTCAGAAAGGCATTTAGGCACTAGAGAATAGTAATTTAGGCACTGTACAATAAGTTCTTCCCCATGTACAATTCGCCTCGATCCTGAATTTTGATTGACATCAACCCCGGAGAAGCTGTACCAGAGCCAAGTATATAGAAATTCCAAGCTCTATCTTTAACCAAATCAGAACAAATATTGCTGAGCCAGAGTGAATGTTGTTGCATAAAGGATCTAGGCACAAAACTCTGAATATATTTTCTTTTGAATACTTATTTTCCTTCACAGGACAATATAGTCAGTTATCCAGGCATGCAATATTAACCATATACAGTACAATGCTTACAAATGAAATTGCAGTAGCACTTGCTAAAGTTCAATTTTTAATCCTTTGCAACGCAAAAGCATTCAAAGCACAATGAAATTTTAACGAGTTAATGATCTTGAACAAAGTACATTTTTTGCGTCCAAAGATGCATAATGCAAAAAAGATCAAGAACACATTCGGACTGGAATTTAACAGCAATGTTATTGCACACTTTTATGTTATCAGCATACTCACTTCAAGTAGGATATCAAATTATGTCATACGTTTGAGTGACCAGCCAAGAACAATTTAATTATTGGTATCATTGCAAACTCAAATGTCGAATGGTTGGACAATTATTAAGCTGCGTAATCCCAGCCTAAATGCAGACGAGTTTCTTCTGGGACATGACGTGCTCAGTTAGGTGAAACAACTATTTAAATTTTTTTTATAGAATAAAAAGAATCAGCCGTTTATGACTTTTGTGCATTTTTGATATTCAGTATGGTTAAGATTTTTGAAGGCAAATTTATGATTGCAAATTGACGCAGCTGACTAAATTGTAAAATCACATCAATACTCCACTGCAGTTTTGTTTTCTATGATACGATTCTGCTGTCTTACTACAATGTGCTAAATGCACTAATACTTCTATTAACTGTGCGGTGAAAGATTTTCAGAGAGATGTAAACAAATGGCGCGTAACACATCCTTCAGTTATTTAATTTGTATTTGTACACAGTGCATTCATATTCACCAAAAGTCCTTTGAAATTTCTTTGAAAATTGTCAAAATGTCCAAGCTCAGCATAATACTTTGGTTTTCACCTTCTAGTTACCCGAAAATCCAATTATTTGAGCCAAATTGGTTTGATGCATAGTAGTGTGGATAAGCAAAAGTGTACTGTCCAACCTTCCTTTACCTCCTCAACAACAACTTGCATCTCAACCAGAATATGGAAAGACAAAGATAGCTTTGTCATTGTAAATGCAGCAAAGTCTGAATTCCACACTATGATCTAAGGAAGTACCAATGCAAAACAATGTTTTAGAAAACAAAAACAAAGTAAACATTTTGTTCAGTAGGTTTCAACAAATGCAAAGAATGAAAGCTGTAAATAATTGATAGTATACCGTTGTAGTAACAAAATCTAAAAATATATCAATGAAAACAATACAGTTCATGACTCTAGATGCACTTTTACACCGAATAATGCACTCTTTCACATGTTTAGTCCTGCATCGTGTGGAAACTAACAGTATCAGGGCTTTTGTTTGAAAGTTGTTTAAAGTATATTTCCTGTTCAATACGATTAAAACGTTTTATGAATTGAAAACATTGGTACAAAAACAAAATCCACAAGGTAGAAAGGCCACAAAGTGCTTGAGGAAATATTCTAAACAAAGCCACTAGCTTCAGCATAAAATTCACATTTGTAACATATACTGGATTATCTTTTTTTTCCAAAACTGCTTCACCTATAAAATATCAGTATCCTTTTTGTAGGCACTCATAGGCTGATTGTACAACCGTTAGCATCAAACTGTCATCATTCCTGCAACAGGTTTTTCTACTTGTCATACAGTTCTTAGTACAGCCTTTACATGCCTCAAAAAGTACACTGCAGCTTTTGAGGGGAACAATTAACAAAGCGATCTTAAATTATCTCCTACTTTCATGTTTCAGGAGTCTAAACAAATTATGTGCATTTTCAGTAATCAGTATGAAAGATGTACTTTAGAAACTGTAACTGACACTGCAGTGCTAATTGGTATTAAAGAGATTGGTGCACAACAGATTTACTGCTGAAAGTGATTACATTGGGAAATTACATTGACTTTTGTTTCTTAGGTCTTATCCCAGGACTTGAAGCAGTGCATTATTGTGAGATGCACTTTGCTTATTCCCAATTGTAAAATAAACTCAGTAACTAAGTACTGTGATGTTGTATTCTACGGACTTCAATGCTTTTAAGATCTGAACGATTCATTTCATTGCAAAAGGTGACTTGCGATGATCCCTCCCTACGACTTAAATCGATTCTTACAATTACTGAAGTTTGATGTAGATCAGCAAAAGTGGAGTTTTTCAACTGGAATTGGGGAAAAAAAACATTAGTGTTTACATGGCAATGTTCAGAAGTATTCAAAAGCATTGAATTCCCTCCAAACGATATTAACTTTCATAGCCCTGAAACTATAGTGAAGTATGGAGCTCATAAACCATTGAACTAAGATAATTTAAAATATAAACCATTTGTTCCAAGTGCTCCCCTCGAAGTGATTTCGCTCTCTGTGTTATCATTTCCATAAAGACTGAACATGGCCCCAGATCAGAACAGGCTTTCCTCAGGAATCAAACATTCCTGATCTTCCGAACAGCAGCTTATTTCTTCACAACTGATTTATCTCTCAGCGCCAAAGTCTATTTGGGATTTGCTGGTCCAGTGAAATCCTTTGGTCTCCCATCTTCTCACATTGTGACAGCATCTTCATTATCCGTCGAGCAGGTAGACTACAAGCTCATAGGTGGCCATCATGATTGCGGTATTCGGAATCTGCCTGGCCAGATGAGTGATAAGACCACGGTAAAGTGATCTGAAACCTTCTTCATTTAGTACTAATGAGAACGTCTGGAAAAAAGATTTGTATTTTGTGCCTTCTTCTCGTAGCCTAGTTCGTATAACCTCTGCGTAAAAGAACAGATTTGAAACTCTCAATTAGAAAAACATACAGTAAGTTGTACAATATAATATACAGTTCACAATAACACTGCCAAGATATTTCACACGAGTGTTCTCAAAATCAATGGGGTCTTTCATCCCATTAGTCTGGCTAGATTTGAACCTTGCAGTGAAAGGCAATGCCCATTGACTGACTTAAAAACAAAACTATTTAAATTTCTGTGATTTACACCGTCTCATTTAGCTCTGGATAATCAGATGCATGAAGCAACGTTGGGGATTTTAAGAATTTGAACACAAAGGGGAAAAAAAGTGTTTACCCATTAATTATTCAACCATATTATTTTCAAATTATAGATTTAAATTTCAAATCACGATGCACTTGTTCAGTAAGAGCCAAAAGGATAATATTGTGACATTTTACCACAGCATTCTCTTGAGCTTCAACTATTCCCGTTTGTAAAATCAGATGTCCACCTGCCCCAATTATTTTGAAATTTTCAACCCACATATGTGCTTTTTGTCCCCATTTTCTAACAAAGGCCCTGATGCATGATGTGACAGAGTTCCTCTGGGACTGGGGACCCTGTGGTATTTAGTTCAAGTCATCATCTTAGATAGTGAGTGATAGCACGTGACCTGATGACATGAGACATCAGACAAGAATCATTCGATCTTTCTCTGGAGTCGACACACAAACTTTCTAGTTAACATGATAGGTATCAGAAGTGAGAACCCTGACTAACATCTCCCATTCATAACCTTTATTTGCCTTACTGCAACCGTACTGAGATTTGCCAACTCCGCAGAGATCAGAAATTGGATCAAGAACTATCTGGTCTGTGGTCATTAAATAAACTAATTCCTGAATATAACCACCAGTTTAAAGGAACATTGTACGGAACCAGCAGGAAACTCAGTTGCAAGGGATGACTGAAACAGCATTTCATAATGTTTCACGTAACCTATTACTACTATTGAAAACAATCGAGTGGAATGATTCAGATGAGCACAAGGTACTAACCGTGCGGATACGCCATAGTGGTGGCACATGTTTTTGACGTGGCAGCAGCTAGCATTAAGCCAAGAAAGTCAGAGGCATCTTTTACAGTATCTTCTTCAGAGTCCATGTTTGAAGCTGATTTTGATTGCACAAGTTTTCGCTTTATGCTTTCATAAATTACAAAATGAATCACAGTCTCAGAGATGCCTGCGTATGAAGCAGACATTCCCCTGTAGAAGCCTCGAATGCCATCAGTGCGATATACTTTTTGGATACATTCAAATGCATTCAATTGCCTTTCTCCTCGGGTCCTACATCGAACAGAAAACAGACCATTAAGAGATTATAAATGAGAACTTCATACGTACAGAACACATAATTTATGACTATAATTTATATTTTTATTAAATCCTACAGGTCCATGATGGGTGTGTCCTGCACCTTTGGAACTCAGCTCCAAAGTAATTTCTGCTTCTACCTTTGTAAAACTCCATTGTGGCCAAAGGTGGCTGACTTCTGGTACTTGGCAGGAGATCAGTGGGGTTCTGCCCTCAGTGGATACCTGTGGGATTCACTATTTACAAATACATTTTGAAAAACCCACCCAATAGTGTTTTACAATATAAAAACATGTAAAACTTAGGCATTATTCCAGGACGTAAAAATGTAGTCACTCAATCCACGAATGTTTGTGGGACATTGCTGTGCCCAGTTGTGCTGCCGCGTTTCGCCCACAAAATACAGTCACTACACTTTACAGTACATTGTTTGAATGCCATTTCTGATCTCCCAGTCAGAAGTATCTGACTGTGCCTTCCTGCCTTTGATTTTAAAATACTTTTACCTTGCATCCAGCTGCAAACGAGTCTTTATCAGCCAGATGGGATTGGTGGCTGTAATAGCAGTAAAGCCTGGAAAGAAATGACACAAACTTTCAGTACATTTGAGCATTTTTTTTGAAAAAAACAAGATCGACTAAAGTTCAAGTAAATGCACAGTACATCTACAGCATCTAGACTATAAGCTGGTAATTTGTACAGGTCTGTGACGCAGACCTGTACAAATGCTCTCAAATGTGCTGACATAGTAAAACAAAGATGGATATTTGTGAAATGAAAATACGTAAACATAAGAAATTCTGCTAGTGATAGTTCTTCTCCTTGAAAAGATACACATACATGAATGTAAGAGAAAATGAACAAAAAATCATTACAAACTGTCCAACAGTTAGTACTAGCCATTTTATGTTACAGAATTATAAAGGTTTAATATATTTAATCAGAAATAAAATAGATGTCAGAATTTGACTGCTAAAAGTATTAATATGGAAACTGATACAACCGTTTTAAGAAATTCAAGCTCATCTACACAAGTTTCCTTCTGATTATTTACTACGAGAATAGGAGACAAATCCCTGATTTCATTCTTGTGTTAGGTTGAGTTGGCTGATCTCAGTCAGGGTGGCAGTGAATCTACATTTGCCAAATGACTATGCCGAATGAAATGATTAAAACACCATCTGAGTGGGATCAGTGATTCACAAGATCAGTGGCAAAGGGGATTGAGTTTTACAAAATTTAGCTCCATAATAAAAATGTTTCCTGTGGATATACTGTAATATTTCTATTAAAAGAAAAAATGCTAAGTGTTAAAAATCTAGATACAAGTCAACCTGAGTGTTTAAAAGGAAGACAATAGAATACATGAAAATAGATTATTAATTGATGAATATGGTAAAAAAGCAGGCAAATGAGATTAAAAGATATGCCTAATCTAATAAAATATCTGAATAGTACAAGCGCACAGGTAACTCACAAAACAATCAATTAATACGGGAATCTAGATTTCAACCCCACTAGAGTACAAAAGAGCAGTCTAGTTTTAGGAATTCCTGCACTAATTCTAGTGAAGACTTCAATTGAAAGATCAACTGAACACGTTACAAACTACTTCATTACATTAATACAAACACTGATCTGTGCTCATGCTCTCCCCAAAATATAATTACTGCAAATACCATACACTTGTTCAAGAAAAATGCACAGATTTCTTAAGGAAAGTATCAGCAGCTACAGACTGGGAGCTTTAATTTGCTGCTTGACATTCATTGAGGGATATTTAACAATGGTCGTGTGTTGATAACTTGGGTCCTCTGCTGGGGCTCACTTTTTAACTATCTTCAGGAATTGGGAAAATAGCNTTTTTTTTCCCTCTCTGAACTGGCCGTTTTGTTGTTTTCTCTCATTTTTTGGTCCCAGGTTTTTTGGGGGACCGAGCGGCCAGCACCAGGAAAGATACATGGTGGTATATTGTGGGGTAGGTGGATGGGGAGGGTTCTCCCAGAAGAGAATTTAGTTCTACGTATCTATGTCTTTTCTAAGGGATAATTATCTTCTCAAGGAACATTCTCTAATGCTACAAGGTATTGTGCCAGCTGGAGGGTAACGATAGCTTAATCTTGTACGTGTTAAGATTCAAGCTTCAATTAGGCCTGAGATTGTAATGGGAGTGTCTTAATTAGTATGCGATAATGTCAAGACTCGATACATGGTCAACCCAAATATCTTATCACAGATGAATTAATTAGGCCAGTTTTATGGTATGGGTTCAATTAGAGTGGAGGGGCAGTGATAAAAATGAGACTGCTGCAGTTAATTTTTTTCATGAACGTCTTTCCCTTCTCTCCAATAGCCTTCATCACCAGAGTGCGTTTTACAAGAGTATGAATGATGAAGACTCTTCATCCCTTTGACCTCATCCTTCCTGAAAAGCTTGTTTTAAAGTCTTAGGAAGCGAAGTGTGTGCTCCAGATATTGGCTTGGCGCAAAGTAACACACAAAGCATACTGTATGTCCGTGTATAAAAAAAGCGTTTAAAACAAAAAAAAAGCTATTGAATGACAAGTTTTCGGAATCTGGCATTAAATCATTTAAGATATGAAATATGCAAAGCAAAGTTACACTAGTCTGCAATAGGCTTCAGTTCAGTACTCACAGAGTTAAAGCTAGTCCTTATTTCTGCTTACACTGATGGCAGGAAGTGACCTGCTGATGGGTAGCATGAGATGACAGGATTTCACTCTTTTCTTGGGAGAATTGTACAGTAAATGCCTAAAATAGACACAGGCTTTCTGTATCACAATGACAAGCAGTGACCTTATCAGATGAACTTGCAACATCGTACCTAATGGTAGAACTTAAATAATTTACTGCAAGTCTCATTCATGGATTTGTTTGAATTACTCTATAAACTAAAACAGGGCCAAGAGTTGATAAAGCGTTTACATCCAAGTACTGAATTTTTGCTATTTGCAGCACAGTAAGGTAGCTTAAACCACAAAATACCATGAAAGAATTATACTTACAAAATCATCACCATCAGTAATATAAAGTGGAAAAGTGCTACACTATATCAAAAACAGAATGTAATTTGTTAAATATACAGTGTTAGAAACAGGTAAAATGGTCACCTTGTTTTATGCTTTGATATATAGCAAATATATACAGAAGATCACCAGGAAAAGCCACATTTCTGTTTTGTTTTAGAAGGTACGATGATTTGCAAAATTCAAGACCAAATAATTTGGATGAAGCAGAACTTTTATGAGCGGGCTTTTAAATGGCCTTTAATCCTCATTAAAATGATGGATGTTGATGTAGGCAAAAGGACTCATTAATAAACATTGGCATCCAGTGCAAGTTTAAAGTACTCTGTCATCCGCTGCAGCTGAACCACACACAGAGAAAAGCTCCCAAAATGTTCCTCAACTCCTCATTTTCCCAGGAACATCCCGAACAACCCAATTTTATTGATGAAGAGTCACTTTTATGTTGCAAATAGGATTGCAAATGTCAAGGCAGTTTTGTGTTTTGGATCAACGTTTACTAGTCATGAGATGATTATTCAAGGGCCTTGTCTATTGGCAGAGCTGGGATATTTGTCAGCCTGGTTTGGAACCCAAGCCTGTGAGACATATTTTTCATTTAGTCTTTGTAATTTTTAAATTGTCTCCCTTATTAGAAAAAAACACACAAATGTAAGAATTAGCAGTTATATTGATAATATTGCAACTAATAGATTTTCTGAGTGAGCTAACAACAAATACAATTTGTACCAATTTGTTCCCCCAATCAGTCCTGCTGAGCATTAAATAAGAAGGTACTTGACTCTCTTGCTTGCAGTGAATCGCACTGATAGAAAATATCCAGTTTATCTACCACATCATGTACGCACACTTTTTTTTTTACAAGGTTATTTTCCAAGAAAGCACGACTGTACGTGCTAACGCACACGATCAAACAATTAATCTAGTAACCTGCTCTGTTGACCTTCTCAAAATTTGTACTCATTAAAATAGGCAATTTAATTGATGATATTTACAAAATGTACACAGTGCAACAGCTTGAAATGCTTACATTTATTCATTGATGATCAGGAAAACAATGTATTTGACATTACGGTGGCATTAATTATGCTATAAAAATAACATTTTTATTACAGCATAAAACAGATGATGTTTTTCTGTAGCCTTTTTACCAGCTATTCTAAACCTCTTGAGGTAAGCATTTCCCCTTTTTGTGCCAATTTCCTCTTTTCCCCTTAAATTACTGACTCTTTGGTTGGGTACATTTCTGTAGTCATTACCAAACACACCAGTACTTGCCATTCTTCATGTGTGAGCTTAGACAGTTGGTGTCAGCAGGCCCATCGACAACATTTATTTCCTTTTTTTAATTTTATTTCTTTATTTTTGGGTCAGCCGGGTGTCTGACACATGCGCAAACCCATCACCACAGCTTAAAAACATCCAAACCAAACTGATTCTTAACTACAGAAGTGAGGTGAAAAGGAGTTGTGTCAGTTCAACCTGAGAGCAGATCCTTACACCTCCCCGATGAATTTCAAAACACAATTTGGGGTTTCAAGGTATTTATTAATAGATAATATTTGTAACAGTACAATATTACACCAACGCATTATTGGGTGAATTTTACTCATGTGTGTTATGAGGTTTTCCTGATCATGTCTCGCAGTACAATACAACTGATGCAAAATTCTGGATTTCTGCAAGAAATTTGTTGTTATTTTGCTTACTGTTTCAGAGAGCTGCTTAAAATCACTCCACACCACAAAAGAAACAAGTGTGATTAAGAAAGTATTATAAATGGATATCAGACAAGGAGAATGTTGCTTTACACTTAATGTGCCTCAAACCATGATTAATGTTCACTATTCATTCCAAGGAGCTCAGAAAAGTTAAGACTACAAAGACAAGTTACAAATGCTGAACAAAACATACAAATACGCAGCACAATCGTAAAAAAAAAATAAAGTTGGCTACTTGGAGATTTTTCATTCCTACTCCAAGTTGCCAATGTTGCTTGTTCAAAAAGACTATTTAAAATTTTTATTTCTTGGTCTAACATTTTACATTCACATCTTCTTTCCTGTGGGAAAATCCTGCAAAAACATATCCCATCTTCAGTACAAGCAAGCCTGCAACAATCATAGCAAGTGTCAAGATGGAATGTGTGTTAATTCAGTCAAGCTGAATTAGATACAGTACATCCAATGACATTTCTGTGGACAACGTTTTACTTGAACTTGAGACAGACAATCAGGTCACCAATGATAATTTTTAAAAAAAACTTCAATACACAGAGAGTAGGATATTAACAACTTTATTGATCTCGATCCATAAATCAGGATTCTGTTTGTCACTTCTTTTCTAAAATCACGAATTTTATTTTTGAGAACTATTTGATAATTGCAAATCTGGAACATTCACTGCTTTGGCTCATTCTCACCATATTACTGCTGCACAAGGGTCGTACATTACTTTACCTGTAGGTTCTTAACCCGCTGGTACTTTTCCTCTTGTTGCAATTGATTCTTTATAGGAACTGTTGCCTTCAGTTGACTTAACAGTATAATATGGTCATTCTACATAGTTGAGCCCAAGCAGGCTACACAATGATGTGGGGTGAAATTGACAGGAAGAGAATAAAGAACTACCATCAAGACTAAGCTGGTCAGCGTACCAGCTCCAGTCCGATAAATGTCAGCAACAGAAACCTCGTTTTTTTCCCACTTCTCATCTCAAGCCCAAGCCCTCCACTCGGGTGCTGCCCTGGCTAAAATCAGCTAACTTGACATGTGCCAAAATCAAAAACAACACAACTTTGCTGATGTCTTTCACAATACGCTATTAGCAGATAAATGATCTTAGTAGTGAGCACTAATTTTTTAAAAAAAACTTATAGGCTTAAATCGATGAGGGGGAAGATTCCAAGTACTGAGATAAAGATTAACTGAGATTGCCCTGAAGTAACCATGACAGAAGGGAAACGTTCTCATGGACAATTTTGGGGTAACAAGGTTCATCCCCCTAAATTACATTGGCATATTGTTTGAGAGACGGAGGGTTAATTGTAAATCCACAACTTCTAATATTGGAATCAAAAGGAAGGTTGAAATAAAATGTTCACTTGATAATTTTGTTTAAAAAAGATATACGTAAAAGAACATTTCTTAATGTCAAGGAAAATATTTATAAGGACAGATTTGAAATAGAACTGGGATAAGTTTCTTTATGCAGACTTAGATAGTATGCATAGAGAAAGCTTTTCACTTACAAAAAATCAACTGCAGCCTAACACGCAGTTAATATAGCTACCACAAGACGCCTTATGTCGATGTTTAAAGTTATTTGTGTCATTTGTTAAACGGTCAAACATGTTTAGCAAGCGTGACATTCTCGATTCCAAACCTCTTTAAAAGTTTCATTTCGGGGGCTTTTTGAATTATGTAATGTTTTAATGTGAGAGGAAAACAACAATTAAGGAACATCACACACAATATTCACAAATTTCAAAACTATTTCATGCAAATAATGCCAAGTCTCTTTCCTAAAGGCATGATAAGAGGGAAGAAGATGTTTACCCAATACTCTTACCTGCCACTCCAGCTGAAACCATATGCACCTGGTTGGAATCGGGCTCAAAGACAGTGTTCAATTTTTCCTTAGCACTGGAGTAAGCAGCAAAGTAAATCGCTCTACATGAGGGAATAAGATCACAACACCACTGGAAAGTTATGTTTGGCCCAAATTAATTTAGAGACGACAGTAACTATTCTGATCTTTCCTGCAGAGTTGTAGCCTGTAAGATAAAGCAAGTGCATTTAACTCCTTTTGGTTCAGCCATTTAGATTTAAAAAGAAACTATTTCTTTCCCTGAATGTCTCTATCCAAGTATTTATATTATATATATGAAATATATGTATGCTATTGCCAGTTATTGGTAAATTGTTTTTGTAAAGAGTTGATTTAATGAGATTCTCAAACCTTCTTGTAGTGCTCTCCCAGCAACCCCATATTCTAAGTGGATTTGTTTATGATTCTATGTTGTATTTTGAAAATGAAAAACCGTGCACATAATCAAACAAAAAGAGCACCAATAATTCCAATTCCATGAAATTCAACGCATGCTGCACTGAACTTTTTGTATAGCACTAAGTGAATAGACGGCTACACAATACCACCTTTGGCAGGCCATACAGACCAGATTGCCACATGATCTTGCACCAGAGATGTCTTGGTTTTCCATCTGTTTCCAAGCTGGCAACCTCTGTTAACTTGCCCAAAGAGCCATTCTTTGTGTTTTGAGTATAGACACTGAGTATTGATAGGCTGTTTGACCACAAGTTGCCACACTCGATCCTCATTTGATGTCTCCTTACCAGGGCTCACTGGACGGTGATCAGGCCGAGAGACCTGGCTAATTTTTCTTCTCAGCTTGAGGAAGTTGATGCTCATGTTACTGCCAGCACCAATAGCCTATGTAATTTTGGAACTTTCCTGCTCTTTAAGGCTCAGTAGTACCCTATGTGTCACATTACTTACTGAGTCAATGGAAGAAATTCAAAACAGCAGAATTATGGGGGTGTAGTTCCTGCCTCCATTTCCTGCATTTATCCATTAAACATTCAAGGACATATGCAGAATCTTTCACATGTTACGTTATTATCAACATTCTCCAGGAATTATAGAAAAAATAACAACTTTGGATGACAACTGACTCATTTCCTTCAGAGAAGAGGAGGGTGAAAATGAAAAACATGTTACTGCACGTTCAGCAACACCTCAACAAGGAAACATTTATAAAGTATTTCTGTTAACACATCAGAATTAATTAAATGGTTGGTAAATCCTTTCAGCGGTTTACCTTTCTTAAATAGCTTCTCAATGCTTTTATTTCTACACCCAGTTTACCACAGAACAGCATAAAAGGTATGGTATCTTCCTTGTTTCATCAATTGGTCTTGCACATTTTCTAGATTTCTAGCAAAATGAAAGGATCACATAGGAACCTTATGGGAAATTTACTGTATAATTGCAATTCACAGCAACATGGCTCAATAATCACACAACTCCAGTCAAATTATATGTGCACCTTTACAGCTCTGTATCAATTGTGGCTCGTGAACTGAATCCATGTTCCTCGTTTAAATTAACGAATTATTACTGAAATGTTGAATTTACGTCATTTAAATCCCCGGTTATTTATTGTCTTGCTAAGACAAAATCGTACTTGCAATGATTTAATTAGTCAGTTTAGCATTGGCCTTGCTCATAATAGCTAAACACTGAACTTGTCATATGCTTACCCTGATTACCCATAAATGTATGAGTGTCATTTAGAAAAAAAACACCATTCAGCATATTCATTTTGGAACTGATTTAAGTGCTCAATCAAAACAACTTGATAAGACGAAAGCAACACTGTGCTAAAAGATAAGTAGATTTCTGAGGCTTTTAATGTCAACCAGGTATGAATAAAAGGTGTTTCTGGTGCTATCTAGCCAATTAATGGAAACTCATTCCCCCCACCACTAAAGTGTCATGCTCCATTTACTCGGCGTCAAATGTGTCTCAAAATAACTCTGTTTCCATGCCCTGTCATTTATACATGATCGATGATGTTCATAAGGAAGTGTATTGAATTTCAAGAAGCTTACCAGGACACTACAAGTGCGACCTTCTACTCTCTGGAGTGATTCAGTGAATCAAGATCAGACACTCTTCAGTGGCAGAACAATTTGGATAGACAGGAATCTTGAAAAGTAGGCAATACAGTTAAACCTGGAAGATATTGGTCCCCCCCAAGGAGATATCACATGGATTGCATTGAATAAGACCTAAGTATCAAGCAATGTTGGGAAATAGACTCACAACGTGCCGGTTGAGCAAAGTAGTGAACTGCTTCAGGTAGATAACCACAACAACAACATTGTATTTGCTGAAAGTTGAATATCAGGTTTCAAGATCACAACATAGTCAAGAAAACTCCTCCACATTGATCAGCACGTCATTTGAACAAGGAACGAGTCATGAATAGACTGGGCCCAGAAATACTTCCACACGTTAGACTTGCAAACTAAACTGCACAGGACGTTACACAGCTTCAATCTAAGCACTTACCTAGATGGCGCCACACCTATCAGGTTAGGACCCAACCCCCGGAAAAGAGAACGGGGACCTTCTTTTTCCAGAATCACCCTGAGTGAATAGAAACATTGATTAATATACATACACGTTTTGGGTTCACAACAAGAATTTAAATGCTGGGAATCAATATAAAGTGCAAACATTTCCAGTTGGCAGATATTGATTTTCAGCTTTCAATTTCTCTTCTCTGTGCAAATAAAGCAGTCTAGATAAGGTGACCAAATGTTCCCGATTTCCAGGGACAATTCCTGGATGAGGTATTGGATCTCTGGCCAAATTCGCAATGTCTTCAGTTTAGCAACAAACTGAGCAAAACAAACACAATTCTAAAACAGAAACATTCACCAGCGAAATACAACGATTAATCCAACAGACTGCAAATCCCGAGGAGAAATTTTTAGAGCACTTTTTTCCCCCTTTTAACACTATTCAATGTTCCCAGGATTTAATTTTTGTTTTGTGGAAATACTGAAATCGGTACACAGTTTCATTGCAAATATGGTTTCGAAAATGAATGCAATGAAGCCATGCATAAAAAATTAAAATGTGATATCCAACAAATAAAATGTCTAGGGTCAATCAAATAAACAAGTGGCTCTAAAGACAAATCAGACTTGAAGTGGAACTTCATTTGAATTTTAAAACAAAAGTTTTAATCATTCAGTTCCAGTGAACCATGTTTTACGTCTCCACTAGGGGGACACTAATTCTATTTTTGCAATTGCGCTACATCCTTATCATCCATTTGAACCAGGAGCACAGACTACTTCACATCTGATCTGAAGGATGGCATCTCCAAATAAGTGTATGCCCTCAATTCTTCACTTGAATGAATACCTTATGCGACAGGCGCTAGATAAATGCAAGTTGTCGCTAGATAATGAGTTTGCATGTTGGCCGAGGTTTTCAACCCACAATTCTCTGGATCACAGACAAGACCTGAGCTGCATTTCACTACGGCAAACTACATAGATTTGGCTAGTTAATCTTCACCATTACATTGATGCACACTCTGGGCTCCCCAACCCTTGGTTTTTGCCAACCTGTGCCTAATGCTCTCCGGAATTAGCTAAGCACAGTGTATCTCTCCAGGGAGATTTCATTCCAGACAGAGAAATTTCCATGCCTAGATTGGTATGGATATGCAAAACTCTCCATCTGATTTGGATACTCTTGAGCACGGTGACGAGTTTCCATGGGTGTTGGACACTCAGCTGAACTAAAAAAAACACTTCAGTCTAAAGCTGAAGAATGAGGAGGGGCTCCAGGAGTTCACCACACCATGTGGCAGTGTGCTTTTGCAATGCAGAAATAAGATATTTTTCCCCCTGTCCCTTCTCCACCACCCACTCATGTTGAGCTCTGCAGTAAAGTCAGAGACTGAACTGCAGATTGCATGTGCACGGTATCTGTGTTTTGACAGAACCTCTGATGCATTTGTGAAATGCCAAATCACTTGTTAACCATTTACAGAATTCTTGGGATGGGGGAAAAAAACAACTCTGTTTTGATGAATGCGACAACGGCAATCGGCACGTGAAAGCAAGGCCACCAGCAAACATTCTGCAGAATCTTGTGGGTAGTCCATTGCACGAAATACCAACAGAAGAAGAAAAGCAAAATTGATTATTAAAGTGCAGGGTTAAAGTAGAAGATGTTCTCCATTTCATTGAGGTTTCACTATATCAACTGTGATAAATGGAGGCCAAATCATTCATCAAAGGGAGAGAGGAAAAAACAAGATAGGGGAATTGCTCAAAGGTCACTCCTTTGTACCCGTTTTGGAAGAAAACAACAATCCACCTCACCCTTAAATGATTCAACTATCAATCAATTAAGGTACACTGCTGGGTGTGGTGCAAATAGCAGATTAGGAGAATTCATACAGTCCAGGCAGAGAAGGCGTCAGAGGTTGGAAAAGCAAATATTGAAAAAATGCTTGGACCAGGGGGATCTCCAAATGTTCGAGTGCTGCTTATGGCTTTCTCATGCTTGATCGAGACATGAGGAAGGAGCAATAAAACTACATAGTTAAGATTCCAATTGAAACAAGCCCAGATGAACAACGTATTTCATGCATTTCAAAATAAGAGACTTTAATGATCAAACTGCGGTAAACACCGCACCGCTCCCTCGTTTTTATTGAGAATGCACGAGACACCACCTCGCGCAGATCAACCGGTTGAATATCCCTGGTCTAGACTCTAGACTCTAGCGAGTACAACACAGCTCAATATTTGCAAAAATATGTCCTCCGACTTCTCAGGGTCAGAATACCAATCCTGCCAAGAAGCTGACGTATCCTTGAAGCATTGTTCTCAGCTCACGATAAACATTGCAAGCAGCTCGCTGGCAAACTCCAGTCTGTCTGCTCCAGCTTAGCAGCAAGATGAAGTCAGAATCTAAACCAAATTTACCCGACTTAATAGATTAGTGCAGATGACAAAAAAAACACGTTTTTTTTATTCTTAGTTTATACACACCCCCACACCACAAGAAGTGCCATCTTTCCATCAAAATAAACATTATCTTGACAAACTATAAACAATCCAAAATATAAATTTTTCAAACATTATTGGTAGAGACACTGAAAAGGTCAACCTGCGTAGGTTAATATTTCTGATAACTGGTTATAAAGAAGAGAATCACAAGATCAGCATTTCTTGTATTTCAACCACAATGCACTATATACCATTCCTAGACTGAGAGCAACGGATCAGACTGCTCCCAGACTCCGGAACTGTTACAGCCATTAAAAGAGACGGAAGTAGTCTTGGTTGTGGTAAACCAATAATAATGCTTATCTTTATCCTGTTTCAAATTCAAAATAAAGAAAAAAGCAATACATGTTCTCAAAGGTCCTTCTCTATGCATTGCAAAAAAAAGGGTGTTGCTGGTTTCCGAGGGTTGAACAGTTTTTCTCTCTCTCTTTCTTTCTGATATACGTCAAATCAATGCAAAATTCCATTTATCACTTAAATTTTACAAGAGCCAACTATCTTAACACTTGAAGGGAGGCATCCAGTAATCTACTATAGATAAGCAGACATGGAACATAAAACATGCCTTTCAGAATACTCACCCTATTGTTTTCCAATACACAATCAAGCTTTTTTTTAAAAAAATGAGTTCAACCTCCTGGTGTAAACCACCCTTCCGAGCAATGCTCTGGCTAAATAAATACTTCCTGATATATCCTGAAATTGCACTTTGCAACTCTAAACCAATATCATCTTGATCTACTGTCCTGGTGTCAGTCTTCACCCCACCCATCTGTAGGAAAACATTGGGTTAATACTCACCGAATTCCTGAACTAATGTGAAATATTCTTCCATCTTCACTACTCAGCCCTGGCCTCCTTCGCTCACTGGAACCCAATCCCACTCCTCCCCCAGCAGCACAGAAATGATTGCATCCTTATCATAACAAGGTTAAATAGTGTCCTTGTAGCACATAGAATGCAATGTAGATTTAGATTTAAGTATTGACATTGCTGAGCTCCTACAAACAGAGGCCAATGTCTGTGCCACTGCGACTGTGTTCTTTTAGGAAAGATAGTAGTGGTTGATGTCATTTTTATACCCTTTATGCGACCAATTTAAATGTTTAGATGGTTACTGTGTTGGATTGGGATGCAGCAGACAAAAGGCTAAGATTGGTTAAGGAAAACGAGGCAAATAAGATCTCCCATTCAAACCCATTAACCAACTTTTACACAATTAACATTGTCAATGACAACACGTGTGTGCAGTTGAGCATCTTAATAGTTGAGTTAATATCAACTGTAACATCTCCATGTAATGTAGATTTGATAAAATCTCCATTAATTACAACACCAATGCTATTTCTAAATCTATAATAATAATCCTTGCATTTGATATAGCGCTTTTCACGTCTTCTAGACGTCCCAAAGCGCTTCAGAATATACTGTAAAGTGAATTTACTGTATATTTGTGGGCGAACGCGGCAGCCAATTGCGCACAGCAATGTCCCACAGACAGTCGTGGATTGAAAATGACCAATTTTATTATTGTTTTTGGTTTTGGAGGGATTATTATTAGGCGTGTGGAGTAAGGAAAAGTTTCCCAAGGTTTCGCCCTCTGCCTGGAATTGAACTCAGATCTCTCACTTGCAAAGTGAGTGCTCACCACTGAGCTACAGGACTCAAATTTACAGCTAGAAGAAAGCCATTCATCCCATTGTGCCCATGCTGGCTCTTTGAAAGTGCAATCCACCCGGTCTAATTTACTTGCCTTTTGCCCTTGGTTATTTTAATGTGGAAAAGTTATTATTCCTGCAGCTCCATGAAAGATATTTCTTATTACATATCCTTTGATGTGGTGCTGATGAAAGATTCACACTCATTTTCCTATATTGTAATTTATTCAGTCAAGTACTTGACATATTAATCCATAGGAATGTGTAGTTGTATAATAACCCTTACATTTGATATTATGCTTTTTTGTCAGGGGAGCGACTCAAACTGCTTCACATGATTTACCTTAATGTGCAGTGACTGTATTTTGTAGGTAAACTTAAGTTTGGGAAGCACTTTTCTCCTCGTGCTCAAAATGACGATAAATTAAATTGTCACTGGGTTGACCTATAAATTAATAAGGATGCAGCTTTTTACAGTGCCCATAGTTGCATACCACACTGATAAGTACATCGTGACCAGACAGCATCTTCCCATTTAATGTTTCAATGAGTATTAACTGAATCTCTGACAGCAGTCAAAAGAGGAGGAAATTAACTCTCTTAAAACAGGTATTGGACAACCGTGTCTGAACTATCGCCCACAAATATACAGCCAATTCACTTTACAGTCTATTCTGTGAAGCGCTTTGAGACGTCTAGAAGATGTGAAAAGCACTATATCAAATGCAAGGATTTTTATTATTATCAGAATTATATGACTGCTGCCAAGCAGTTCTAAGCATGGCCCAAGATTACCAAGTGGTTTATTGAAAGACTTGTTCCAAACATATTTATGGACTTGTTTTGATCTGAGTGTTTTTTTCTTTAATGATCAAAGGTATCTAGACATTTATTAACTGACACACTATGGTGGAGCCATTATTTATAGATCCTATCATAAAGTCATAAGGTTTTTAAATAGAAAATTGCTGAAAATGAAAGTAAACACGATATCAAGAGTGATTTTTACAATTTTCTGTCACACTCGTGGATCAAAATCCAGTGGCACAGGAGAATAAGAGTACACTGAAATATCCAAATGTAACCACTAAGTCTATAACTGACAATTACATCACAATTTTTCACTGGAGTAGCTGTTTAAAATAAACTGCAATAGTAATATTTTAATAGTGGAGTTGTATTTTTCAACCTTTTTTGAAAAAAACACTCAAAATCGTTCACATGAGCTTTTGGCAGACTGGAGCTGGAAACAGTTTTTGTCAGGGTGGAGAAAAATCTCAGCCGTAGTAGACATGAATGACAGCATTTCCAGCTAACGATGCATACCCCCCAAAAAGGAACACAATGCTAAAATCACTTCATTGCAATCATTCTTCAGCACTATCTGTCACTGTCACTATCATCATTTACCCATTAAACTTCTCAAGTTCCTCCCAAGTTCCAAATATGCTTCTTTCCATCCTCACAAAATTAATAATCCTTGCAATAGATATTATGCCTTATCATGTCATTGAAACGTCTTAAAGCAAATCACAGCATTTGCTGTAAACTGCAGTGATGAATCCGAAGAACACCACCTCTGACAATGGAGCACTCACCCAGCACTGTATTGGAGTTGTCAATGTGGGTTTGAACTGACAATCTTCTGACTTAGAAGTAAGATTGCTACGAACCAGGCAAGGCTTATTAAAGCTCATCGGACAAATGCCTAATTGAACTCATTCTTTCTCAATCGCTCAAGGCTACAGAACTCACTACATCCTTCAGACTTCCTATCCTCCTGCAATACTTTTAAACCCAAAGAATGGGATCAACTAAATTGTTGCTTTGTGATTTCTCTCATCTTCTGACCTGCCAGGACATCAATATCATCCTAAATTCTCAGCCGTAACCTTTCTCCATCAAAAAAGGCAATTAGTTACCTTTAGTTGCCTGGCCTTCAGAGTGCAGTTGTACTTTTCACTGAAGCATACACATTAAACCTTGTTTACTTTACAAATTTAGATGTACATGACTTCCTTGTTGTTATGACTGATAACAGTCAGTGCTGAGCTGACTGGAATTAAATGGCAACCGACTTACATGTAGCTCTTATTCTGAAATATTACATCACATTCTGAACAGTACCAGATTAATCTTCAAGAGGTATTGCTAAAATAAAGAATACAAACTTATATTGGGGGGAAAAAAAGAGATGTGGCCGGCTTAAACGGTGTCCACTGTGTATATAGAGAGCTAAGACAAGATATGTAATGTACAGACTATGGTACTTACTTTAAACAATGTAGAGGGCTGGGAGAGACACGGGCCACCCGATTCACACGAGGCCCATGTACAGTACTAAGGTGCATCTCTGGGATGTATAGTGTGACTGAGGAGGACTGCAACCTTGTTTTCACTACTTCCAGCGGGCATGTTAAAATGGCTCCAACTGTACCCCCACAGCTGCAAACACAAAAATATTCAGGTTAGTTCAAAATCGACACATGCTGTTTTGGGTTGGGAGCATGATACCGTAGAGAATTCTAACACTTCATACTATAAACAAAAATCACTTCCTGTGTCTGGTATGAACTGATATTGCTCAGGATGCTCCGAGTTTAATCTCTATTCTACGCGCAGTCAGATGACCTCAGCCAGGCATCGCAGGTCACTATAATTATCTCAGTGTCCCTAAGCTCATGGGAGCAGGAAGAGAAATACAGGAAACTCCTAATAACTCAACCCTGGCTCAACTCTCGCTACTACTTAAGTCATCATGCTGTCAATACCCCGGCCACATATATTTATTTATTTATACACATGCCTAGCTCACCATTCTGGATAAGACACCACTGAGTTCCTTTCTCTTGGGAGTGACAATTTATCGGGGGTGTACTGCAGGAAATTGTGGTCCTTTTTGCAAATAAGACTCAATTCCTATCCAGTTCTATCAGAAAGTTCAAGATGGTCCTATTATTAAACTTAAAAAAGCAGGAAACGTGTACCAAGAACCAGATAGAGATCTGGAACAGGAACCACGAGCAAATGTCTCTCTTAACCTACACTAGACCTACCATGGAAAATTATAGTGTCCCCAATATAGAAATCGACACGGCTCATTTTTACACTGGGTAGCGAATATCAGCTGCACATGTTGTACTATTGTACTGGGGAGAAGGAAATAACTGGATAATGGCCAAATTCTATTATAAAATTACTAGCACTAACTGCTTGCAGAAATTTCCAGAACACGTGGTTGCTGGCATACTGTCAACAATCTCAATGTTAAGCATCCGAAGGATGACTTGCAAACATCCAGAGTTATACGTACAATAAAGGAACACCTTCTTAAAATGTCTTTGGTAGGGACATAAGATAGGGGAGTGGAAAAAAACAAGCATGGCGCACAGAACTACAACACGTGTTCGTTCTCACAGACGTGGAGCTTGGAATTTAAACCAGAGACATCAAGTAACTAACTAACTAACTAACTAGCTAAATAGAATGCCCTTTCCAGGAACTGTCAATTTAAAAATAAAACAAACCAGCTGACTATTTGCTCTCTCCCATCAGTGAGAGCAGCATGCAACCATGACAACTGCCTCACCGCGAGCAGTCCCTCCGCATTCTGCATCTCAAACAGTTTTTAAATCTAAAGATAAGGCTGTGGTGCCGCAAAGCTGATGACAGTGGGGGTGGGGTGGGACGGGGGGGACGAGGTGGGGGAAGCCACAGCATCTCGGCAGAACGAAGTTCCCAACAAGGTCAAGACCTCCAAATCAGCATAAATAGACACTGAAGTTTCTATTTCAGTTTCAACTACGCACAAGGTTATACAGGTTGTACAGACAGAACACTGTCCGGAAAGTCCTTGAATAGTATGTTTGTTTCACTCATCAAAGAGACCGCTTGGACTCACTCACTTGTCGAATCAACGAACTTCCTATTTAGTTGCTTTTGGTCAGGTTCTTGTATCGGCCCACACATGTGCTGTGGAAATTTGATCTTTGGAAATGAGCTGCTCTTGTAGTCAGAAAGCCACAAATGATGGCAACCAGACATAATCTTAGGGTTGACAATATAGATTCATCTTCAAACCTGGGATCTAAAGTAGGTCAAGGACCATTCTTTCTTTCTGTTACACTCGAAAGCCATCTGTAAAATTCCACTCCAGAAATAACCTGATTTGAAATTCCTGCCATAGCAGGAAATTAATCCTTGTGAGGAGCATTGAAGGATCTTATACAGCACTAAATCTCACATCTGTGCAAGTTACTTAAACTCAACAATATAATGAGATCTAAATGAACACATACAGTACTGTGCATCAATGAAGCATATAACTTGGTTCTTTGTAATTATCATGCATATAAACAGAAGAATGCTGCTCCACGAAATCCATTATTCTTCAATTTGAGCGCGTAGAATACCGCACTTTTACATATACTTGTAAAAGATGAAGTCGATCATGACTGCAACTTAGGAAATACCTCAATGTTTCAAAAACACAATTTTGCAATGTATTGCATTTGGAACATTCTTTCCACACGAAAAGTACCAATTCTCCAGAGACTTTCATTTCACCTACAGCGAACATAATTAGCAGAACACAATCCCAACCTCTGAAATGGTCAGATTAAAAGGCGCAATAGAGGAGTGCAATGTAATATGACCTCACGGCTGTGACCCAAAATAAACTACGTACAGTAACATGCAAAACAAATCAGAGGATTAAATTTGAACATATGACTTATTTGTATTGGAATCACATAGCTGGAGGCATATCAAGTGAGTGGTCTCTGTTGCTTAAAATATTACTCAACTGGAACCCAAATCGAGAGATGCCAGGGTCTTGAAACTGAACAGAGTATTTGACCAAAAACCAACATGGTAACAAACAAGTTAGCTATTGCTTTCTCAGAGACGATTCTATCTCAATCTCAGACTTGCACGTGCTTCTTTTCCACAAATAAAAATGGGCATGAATACAATCAACGAACAATATAAAAAACTAAAAATTGTGAGCAAAGCTAGCGATGAAAGCATTGACCAACAGGATTCGGAATATCATTCAAGAACCAGCCTATATCGTCATTGAATTAATTGCATAATATACAAAGGTAATTGTAATTGTGGTTTGTTGGCAGATCCTTACAATTACTGCACTTTACAGTAATTCCTGTGAAACGCTTGAGATGTCTCAACGACATAAGGTGCTTGTATCAGATGCAAGCATTATTATAAAGGGATAGAAAGTCTCTGAAAACAGTATTATACAGTAGCTTTACTAGTGTTAGTTGTTCAACAGGAATGCTTAAAGAAGGCATGCTTGTGAATAATTAGCAGTTCATACAAAAGGAAATAAGAAAATATGTTTCTTGGCTCTGTCCCTGCAGTGTCAGCGCATTGGGACGACCTCCCGACGTGAAAGACGCTATACAAATGTAATTTTGTTGTTGTTTGTTGATTATAGAAACCCTCCTTCAACACAATCATGGGAACTGAATTAATTAATTGCAGGTTTGCGAAGACTTTTTTTCGCCAGTCAAGAAAAGGAAGTGGCAGTGCAAGATGGAAATTTAACAGAACCAAAGCGACGTTTCAAAAAAATCATAAAAACCAGAAAAATCTCTTCAGAAAAAAACAGATGGAGAACAGGGCCTAAATTGTAAAGGTGACATTCTTTGTCATTTTTAAAACATCACAGAAGGTTGCACAAGACCAAGTTAAGTGCGTTGAGGCAAATTAATAAGTGACAAATCTCTGACAGTCTATTCTTCTTTGGATTAGATAGGTAATGGAAATTGTTCAAGCAGGCATGTTCACCCATAAATGCAAAGCTATAAGGTTAAAAACAAAGCTTCATCAGTTATAGAACTGAGCCCCCTGACAGGGGAAGCAATGGAAACACGAGATGGATAGTCCATTCCTAAGTTTAAAAGTATCAGCAATATTAAGGACATGCCTGTATTTAATATTCAAGCTAACAGAAGTAAACCTAGTAAAGTATTTACAGCTTTGGCATCTAACTGTTTTGAACAGTTGTGGCCACGAGGTAAGGGGCTTCAGGGAGTAAAGATTTAGCTCGCAAGTTACCAATCCTGTTCGTTATCCAGAAAGCCCTTTCACAATATGATGAAGACAGAATTGGGTTGGGATTCTCCCATACACAAATCGCCTGCCAATACTCACCATTAATGGCAACTTGGAATTCGTTGTGGAATTCTATACCAATAAAAGGAAGTGAAGCTGCCAAATATACAAAAAGGCCACATGAATGTAGTAGCAAAAAAAATCTAACAAAGGTACTTTGTTCAATTAATAAATGTGCATTAGCTTTTACTTAGTGATTAAGAAATTGAATTACAGTTGAATGATTTAGTTCACATGATGTTACACAGTTTGATATGAACTACACGAGACCAGTCTCAAAATAGTGCCATTTGGCTTCAAAAGAGGTCATAAGATAAGGACTGATCCAAGGTCCAATGGTATGGACAGTCCCTAAATCCAAAGACCTCAATTGTGAGAAGCAAAATGTCAAGAACTGAACCAGTTCATGAAGGCTGAGGATTTTATATTAAAAAACCTTAAATTTGTAGAGTGTAAGGAAACAAAGTTCAAAAATCCAGAGAATGTAGTGCATTCTGAACGTATTCTGCTTAACATCAGAAATCAATACTCCCCATCTATTGATCACAATGTTTAGGGACCAAAGGATAAAGCTTAAAACTCAGACCCAACATTGATTAAAGAGTACTAGCTTTTCTGCCAATAAACTCTAGTGTTTAAAAATGTGTGTGCTGACCACCAGGTTGACAAGTGGGAGCAGTGATTGCACCACTGTAGATATCAAGTCAGGATATTGCTGACATAGATGTTACTGAATAAGATGAATGAGGTGAAGAATGACTCCTTTGAACTAAGAATGCGATCGGATTGTCACGATTGCCATTACATTACACCTCCATTCCATTTGACGTCGGCATTAAACTCATCAAAAGATCAGCGGACGAACGCATCGCAGCTTCAGCTTCTCGGCCGTTCAAACCGAAGACCTTAAAGAGTTCTTTCAGTCGGTTGCACAACAATAGACAATATGTTACCTGAAGCTGATTGAATGGGGGTATATAGAGACTGCCATTGGAAAACCTTGTGTCATGTCACCAAGCAAAAGTAACTGGTGTTCACCTTCCAGAATTGACACGTTGCATCACACACCACACCCGTTCCTCAGTTCCAAGGAATTGACAGATATTGAGCATGTACAGAGTTTATAAGCAGTTAAACAACAACGAGATTACACTTGTTTGGAGTTTAAAATACTGCACCTCTCAAACGGTTAATGTAAAATTAATTCAGAAGTAAATATTAAGCAGTGGACTGGACAAGTACAATAAAAATGTCCCTGCAATTCAGTTTTCAGCTTGCTGAAACCAGCTTCAGCCTCTGAATTACTGCAC